GTAATTCACTGCTGAGGGCTTTGCAGTTTCCTTTATGAACTATTGAAACGAAATCAACTTAACTATTATAAGGGACATTTTGCTACAAAGAATGTTAGTTTTGCCAATTCCCTTTCCAAATCTAAAATTTATTTTAACCAGGATTATTAGATGTAAACATTAAGTAGTTTTTGTTGTTTTAATGAACTACATTTTTAAACTCACATTATTTTGGCCAAAATGAGAAGTAGTTCAGCTCCTATCCCCATGAAAATTGTATCCAGCAGCTTAAAAAAAAAAAAAAAAAAAAAAAAAAAACTACAGTCAGTCATTATCCAGTTTGATGATTTATGGTCCAACACTAATGCTCATTTGTTTTACTAACATTTGGTGGATCCCACAATGAAAACTGCACTAAAAAAAATGCTGTAAGAGGAAGGAAATATCAAAAGGGTCTGATCTGGCGAGTGGTCATTGAGATGTTTTAAAAGGTGGAACTAAAGGACTTCTAAAACAATTCTAGGAAAAGCTTTATTTGCCATAAAAATTCACTTCTTTGGAACATACTATAGTTTGTACTTAAAGAATATTCAGGCCGGGCGCGGTGGCTCAAGCCTGTAATCCCAGCACTTTGGGAGGCCGAGGCGGGTGGATCACGAGGTCAAGAGATCGAGACCATCCTGGTCAACATGGTGAAACCCTGTCTCTACTAAAACTACAAAAAATTAGCTGGGCATGGTGGCGTGTGCCTGTAATCCCAGCTACTCAGGAGGCTGAGGCAGGAGAATTGCCTGAACCCAGGAGGCGGAGGTTGCGGTGAGCCGAGATCGCGCCATTGCACTCCAGCCTGGGTAACAAGAGCGAAACTCTGTCTCAAAAAAAATAAAAAAAATAAAAAAAAAAAAAGAATATTCAATGTGTTTAACATTTTTTGGTCCTAATAAAATCTTTTGTATTAAATAGTAAGTTCAACTCTAATATTGTCAGCACATTTCTAGGCAATACAAACTCTTTAGGCTAAATCCTCATCCTGACGTGACAATGCCAAATGACAGTGTCAAAATGTGATCCCAAAACCAGGTGTCCTTTCATTCCATTATTTATATCTGCAAACCTGTTATGTTTTTCAGAATTGAGAAAGGCGTAAGAAAATTACATCTATGATAATAAAATGTATTTGTCAAAGAAATTTCTTAGAGCTATATAAGGATAGGGAAAATGTTTCAGCAAGACACTGGGGTATCGTGCCAGGCGTAATAAGCACTTTATAGCATATCTAGCCTTCCCCATTCCCTCACGCAGTGGACACCATACCCTTTTACAGAGGGGCCAGGCAGAGACCGTATTTAAATAAAAACCGGTAGATACAGGGTCAGAAGTCAACCCAGGCAGTTAGAATCCACAGCTCACAGTTGGCCACTAAATCTCAGTAGATGCTTGATGAGGAATTTTGTTTGGATGGTGCCATTTTTAGATAAATGTAAATTTCTTTTGGTATATCCAGTTTAGGATCGTAAGCAGTAAAATACCATATAATCCTGTGTTTTGAACATGCACACTGGGTGAGTGGGGAGGGGAATGACAAAGCTTCAAACCCCAGGACTCTGTAACACTCTATCCATACCTTTCATGTTTAACCTACACAAATGACCACGGCCCTGCGTGGTATTCACACACGCTATTCACCCTGTCGAGCTCCAACATTACTTTCATGTCCATTCAATGCAGCAGTCAGACTCACCCCCCAGGTATGCTGAATTTGACCTACTGTTTTCTTAATTTGGATTACTTACAAATTCTTCAATCCGGAGTCTGAATGAAACAGAATTCCAACATTAGTAGAATCACTGCAGATGTTCCTGAATATGAAGAGCTTTTGGGGGTTGGAGACAACACACTATTATTTTGGTGAGCCAAGCTATCTACAGCCACTTATGTAAGTTTGAAGTCTGCAAAAATGTGGGTCTTGAAAAAAAATCTACGTAGTACAATAAAAATTAGTCAAAGGAAAAACTGTTCCCCAACAAGTAACACACCAAACTGGCCCATGATTCAACAGGACAATTTCAAGTTTAAGGGCGTAAAAGCAACAGAACAAAGTTAATATGAATGTCTCCCATACCTACCCCATGTACAACCTCCTGAAAGGAGACACCACAAGAAATGGAGTAAGTCTTCATTATAACAAGCAATTTAAGGACAAGCATTATGCCTCATAATCAAATGTGTAATGGACCAAGAAATATGGCTATATTTTTGGCCTTATCTCTATAGGCCAAGAATATAAAGACTTAAATGCAAACAGTTAATACTAAGATGTCAAGTTAACTGTCAAACACAAAATGTACTACCTTAATTTGTTTGAATTAGTAAAACATGAGGTGAAAACTTCACACTGCTACTGGTGTCCTCTGGAACCTCTCCAGAAAGCAATAATAAAGTATGTCAAAAATAATCCTAAGAATATAAACAGAAAACAGAGAGATATGTTCATGGGTTGTTTATATATAACCAGGGCCGGGTGCAGCGGCTCACACCTGTAATCCCAGCACTTTGGGAGGCCGAGGCAGGTGGACCATGAGGTCAGAAGTTCAAGACCAGCCTGGCCAACATGATGAAACCCCATCTCTACTAAAATTAGGTGGGGGTGGTGGTGCACACCTGTAGTCCCAGTTACTCAGGAGGCTGAGACAGTGGAATTCAACCCGGGAGGCAGAGGTTGTAGTGAGCCGAGATGGCACCATTGCACTCCAGCCTGGCGACACAGCAACACTCCACATAAAAAAATAACTGCCAGGTAAATATCCAACAAGAACCCAGCTAAGCTTACAGTGAATCCTCATAAATTTGAAAAATTGTGTTTTTCAAGATCATTAAAGTGATGAAACACTCAAATGATCATGTTGTATGGTGAAAGGGCTACATAATACATAAAAGGGCTCCCAATATCTTTCACAATCAACACGTGGCTGGAACTGGTGCCTCATACCTGTAATCTCAGCAATTCAGGAGGACAAGGCAGGAGGATCACTTGAGCCTAAAGAGTTTTGAGACCTCCCTGGGCAACACAGCAAGACTCCATGTCTACAAAAAAATTCAGTTAGCCAGGCATGATGCTATACACTTGTACTCCCAGCTGCTCAGAAGGCTGAAGTAGGCCCACTTGAGCCCCGAGTTTGAGGCTTCAATGAGCCAACTGCACCATTATATTCCGGCCTGGGTGACAGAGCAACACACCCGGTCTCTAAAAAACAAACGTGGATGAGCACATGTACATACACTTAAAAAACTGGAAAAATAAAATGTCACTTCTGAGTGGACAGTAAGATTACAGATCAATCCGATTATATGTGCAATTTCATAATTTCCAAACTATACATGATGGACATATTTTATAATAAAAAACTTTAAAATACTAAAACTAGGCCGGGTGCAGTGGCTCACACCTGTAATTTCAGCACTGTGAGAGACCAAGGTGGGCAGATCACAAGGTTAGGAGTTCGAGACCAGCCGGACCAACATGGTCAAACCCCATCTCTACTAAAAATACAAAAATTAGCTGGGCATGGTGGCGAGTGCCTGTAATCCCAGCTATTTGGGAGGCTGAGGCAGGAGAATCACTTGAACCTGGGAGGTGGAGGTTACAGTGAGCTGAGATCACACCACTGTACTCCAGCCTGGGCAACAGAGTGAGACCCTGTCTTTAAATAAAAAGAAATGAAAACTACAAAATGATACGCCTCCACAAATATACCCGATATGGATTTTTTCCTTTTTTTTTTTTTTTTTGGAGGTGGGGGAGACAGAGTCTCACTCCATCACACAGGCTGCAGGTGTGGTATACAATCTTGACTTGCTGCAACCTCCACTTCCTGGGTTGTTCTAGGGATTCTTGTGCCTCAGCCTCCCTAATAGGGTGTGCCATCATACCTGGCTAATTATTTTTGCACTTTTAGTAGAGACAGGGTTTCACCATGTTGGCCAGGCTGGTCTTGAACTCCTGACCTTAAGTGATCTGCCTGCCTTGGCCTCCCAAAGTGCTGGGATTACAGGCATGAGCCACAGTGCACAGCTACGTTTATTTTGAAAGATACTGGGAGCCCTTTTATGTATTATGATGTAACCCTTTCACCATATAACATTAAATATGGAATAAGTCACTTTTTCTAAGCACATATGCTAATGAACAGACCTGGATATAAATTTGTGGTTGAACTCTTACTCTTTCGCCATAAAAATGGCTACACAAGCACATTACAACCAGTTCAAAAGATAATACTTACGTAGGGAAGAGACTACACAATCATCTTTTCTGAAAATGGATAGAAGAAATAAACTCTTACCCAAAATTATCCAGAATCAGTAGTGGTATAAGGGTGAAGTCCAAATTAATTTTCATTGACTTTCTAGGCTTAGAGTACCCACAGAACCACACAAAATTATCTTTGAACATTCAGTCAATTTCAGAATCTTGCCATGTGTGTCAAAGTAATTAGCAACAGTTAACTACATGGTTCTAAAGGCGTAACTGTAGCTAACATTCACTGGATGCTGCTATGAACAAAGCAGTGTTTTGGGTAATGCACCTGTAGCCCATTTAAACTAGAGGTATCTACCATAATTTAACCCCACTTTACACATTAGGAAACTTGGGCCCAAGTGAGGTAGAGCTGAGACTGGCACCCAAGTGCCTGGAAGTCCGGCTGCAGAACCAAGGCTCTTAGCCACTAGGCTATGAAATAGTAAATTTATTCTTTCATTGTGCTTTTTTAAAGAGGTGAAAAGTGGTCACCATTTTAGTCATTCTCCTGAAAAAGTTGTAACAATGGAAATGGGGGGGGGGGCGGGGGAAAGAGACTGTAATCCAGAGGCCATATACCCAGTTATTTGCTGTGATTTAGAATATAACTCTACCACACTTAAAATGACAACACACAGCTTTCTGCTATATAATTAGAGAATGAAACAGGAAAATAAGTTTGGATTTTATCAAACTTAGAGTTAAAGCAGACACAGTAAGATTTTTTTAATTTGCCAGATATTCTTTTAATGAGAATTATAAAAGACCAAAAACATTTTTTTTTTTTGCAAACTGCCTTTTTAAACAAATGATTTGCTTTTAATTACAAATACTGTGCATGACGATGCCTTCTTCTGCAAAACCAATAAATACAAGAACAAATTTTAAACAGATGATTTGTCTAAGATATTTGAAAAAGGAAACAAAAGCCCGATTTTCATTATAAGAATTGATTCTCTAACCTTTCAAAGATTAAACTCAAAGGTGTGACTCATCTGTAGAAGACAAAAAGAGAGACCATCTTATATATGCTTTAAATAGCTTTTGATAATTTTCCCGATGTCACCTTTACTTTCTGGAACTCATAGTTTCATAAAATAGCCGATTTTAAAATATTTCTAATGAACTGATTAATGGGGAAAAGAAAGTATGTATTGAATGCATGTTATAAATTTTACCATAAACAATTATGCATATCAAAAGACAATAACTTTAAAATGGTACAAAAAAAAGTGAGGAAAAACCTGAATTACAGAAAAGAAAGTCAAATTTATTTAATGAAAAACTAGAATTAATAAAAATTAGCAAATACACACACAAAAAAGCACACAGCAGCACTATGTATTGACTCACAAAGGGGAAAAGCAGTGGCCCATGACCACTCAAGATGGCTTGTCAGTTAAAGGAAAAAAACCCAAACACGCACACACCCACGCACGCACGCACTCACACACGCAGAAACATAACAAAAAAGCCCATTATTTTTCAACAATACAATCTACAACAAACACAAAACTCAGAATTATTTTACAATGCTTTCTTCTTTTTTAATACAAAAGATGCCCATCTTGGGTGTATATACATACATTTTTTCAGTGGTTTACTGTTGACTTATTTTTAAATATATTAGTGTTACTACATGCAACTGTTTCCTGTATTTAACAGCCTTTCTTTTTATTTACCTTCATGTGTCTAGCTTTCACCTACCAAAAGAGTTTTAGATTGGCAGGCAGATGGGTGCCTTATTTTCTGTGAAACTGAAGTTTTAAACACTGGCCACAAAATGTTTGATTGCCATTTCAACACATGGAAATAGTTACATTGATGCCTAAATTGCCATTTTCTGCAAAAAGCTGTGCAATGCTGGTGTCAAAGACTAGACAGTCACTATTCATAATGGCTGTTGCAATTCCTTCATGAATAGATCGAGGAGTTGCTTCCCAAGTCAATCGTCGCCTATGACCATTTAGCTCAAGTCGGTAAGCAAAATTTTCAGCTTGCTTGCGTGTTCCTATCAGCTGTACGATTGCAAAGAACTGCTGGTGACCATCGTATTTTTCCTGTTTCTCCAAGACTAACATGAAGTGAAAGCCAAAACAGGACTGCATCATCACCCAGTCAACAGCACCAGGAAGATTAATGTCTGTAGCAAGGAAAACTATATCCTCTCCCTGTAGGGTTGTAATGGACTTATGCTGATGCATCAGATGGGGCATTACAGCATCCAGAGAGCCTTGCCATTTACAGGAAGCACCAGGGCACGGACAGGAATAAGGCCTAAACTCACAGAGCTCTTCGTGGTCTGCTTTTTCTGTGTGCGGCAGAGTTATTTCACATCCAGAAGAGGCATATTTACAGGGGAAAAGTACTGAATTAGCCACTTTCTCCATAGCCAAGTTGCGAATGGATCCCAACGGGCCCCGGCAAGTTGGACAACATGTGAGCTTTGGGCGACAGTTGCTACAAACAAGATGGCCACTCTGACATTGAAGAATGGGTGGTAACACATAGTCAAAGCAGACTGGACACTCAAAAAGACTCGCCAAGTCATTGTTGGATGCAGTCGTGCCAGTCAGGGCAGGCACCCTCTGGGATGGTGGACACTTCGAGGTACCGGTAGGTAATGCTGTAGCAGTCTGACGGCTCATTTCTGAAATAAACACATAAGGAAGCAGGAGAATAATTACAACCATGATTTATTTTATAAATAATGTTTACATGCCAGAAGTACTTTTAAAGTTTCATGCAAAATTTACTGTGCAAAAGAGAAAGAAAAATAGGATTTTTAAAAAGATACTAAAAAAATAAAATTACACTGAACGTGCACTTTGATTATTAGGATCTGCACAGTGGATAAGCTCTATTTTCAAAATGTTCCAGAACACATTTGGAACTCCCTTTAAGAAAAAAAAGTAAAAATCATCTTAAATAAAAAATGGACCATAAACAACTAGAGAAACTATACAAGGAACTAAAGTTTAATCAAATCCATTTTGATAGGACTCTCTCCTTCTCTGAGATTCCCTTACTCCATTTCTTTCCAATTCTGAGTCAGCTGCTAAGAGGCACAGGGAGTTACAGGTAAGGTCCTGTGTAAAATCGGCACTCTGTATCCGCAGAATCTGCATCTAAGGACTTCACCAGCCATGGATTGAAAATATTCAGAAAAATTTTAAAATAATACAAAATTTTTAAAATACAACATATATAACAGCTATTTACATATTATTCACATTGTATTAAGTAATCCAGAGATAAATTATACAGGAGAATATGCACAGGTTATATACAAATATGACACCATGTTCTATCAGGGACTTGAATATCCTCAGGTTTTGGTATGGGGAAGGGGGTCCTGGAACTAATCTTCTGAGGATACTATGGGATGAGTGTAGTTCAAATGCCTTTCATTAACTCTTCTTAATGGTGAGCTGTTATCTACTCTAGAGGTGTAATGTGGGAATGAGGAGAGGGGTCACAAGGGGAAAGATCTGCTGCCATCCCCTTTATCTAACAATCTTTTCCCCAAATTATCATCAGCCAGGTACTGATCTTATTTCCTACTGATCAGTGCCCACCTCAAGAATAAGGGATGTACTCTCTAGTGAAGGTAGCAAAAATATAAAAATAAATTAAAAAACAGCAAAAGTGAGGGAAGACATGGGAGAAATGGAGAGCCATCTCAAATAAAACTTTTTGGTCTCACAGAGAAAGCATATCTTTCTGTTCTATTTCCAATCCATAATATAAATCAGACATAATGAACAAAGAAGGAGAGTCAGGAAGAAACAGTGAACAGGGGAAGAATGCAGACAGCACGGCAAAGAGACACACCACACTGGGGGTGGGGGATGGAGTCAACAGGTGTAGCCTAGGGTTCTCCAGCATTGCTGAAACATTCATCAGCAAACTAATCAACATTATTTGACAGATAAATGTCATTTGGAAGAAATGATCAACAATGTAACTAGTCAGGCTGAGTCAAAGATAAAACAAGCAACTTTTCCCAAAAAACTCCCTGGGCTGGGATATGGGAGGTCACTATTTGTCTTGGGGGTGAAAAAAAAGATCGGTAGATGTCCTAGGAGTACACTCCTAGTAACTATACTAAGCCATATTCTTACAAAGTTAAAGTCTTAAAATTAATGTTTTATCTCAATTATAGTCATTATTCTGTTGCAAGAAACTTTTAAGAAACAATGTTAGTTACCAATATGACCAAATAAATGCATCTTTGGTTCTAGATTACTCAGGTGGTTACCAACTGATACCTTAAATGAAGGCTGAGGGTGAAGGAAAAAATAAAGATTAATTCCACATCACTAAAGGTATATTTTAAAGTTCAAGAGGCCACAAAAGTGACAATTCCATCATAATGTGTCTCATCATATAGACTCAGAACATGAATCAACTCTCATCTGAAGCCCTGTGTGACCCAGGTGTTCTGTCCCCTGACAAAAGGACTATAAAGGAACTCTCCTGTAATCCAGTTTCCCTGAGTGGATTCTTTGTACATACGATGATCCATCCATTTTATGTCACTTGTAAAACAGTGGGCTCAGCATTGCCAAAACATCCTGGCTGTATGCTGCTGTATGCCTACTGCATGGTCCAGTTTATGCTGCTTACTGAATTAAGCAGCATAACAATTAGAAAGTGGTTCCTTGGGCACAAAACAGTCTAGGCAACCAATGCCTTTCAAATTACTAAACCAAACCAGAGAATCACGTCCAAGGGCAGTAAACTCGGTTTGTATTTAACACAACACAGCTACAGACCAAGCAAAACATTATTTTTCAATTTCTTGACCTAGCAATAGTTATACATTTATCATCAACAGTTCAGGCTCACATTACAATACATCTTTATCATTTTCCAAACACTGTAGTAGAAAGCACATTTTAACTCTTCCTCCAAGCGTGAAAAGCGAAATGTGAACAGGAGTTCTTGTGAATGGAGGTATACAGGACAGCAACTGCTAAAGCCTCTCAAAGCTCCAAAGGTGTAAGTAACCCAGCTCCATCTTGAAACAGAAAAGGAATCCCAACCATACAGCCGCCCTGCAGTACGAACCAAGGACAGCCCTGCAGAAGTCATGACGTAACCTGAAGTTTGATTTAAACAGAAAAAAAGCACAACAGCCCAAATGAAACATGACTGCTAACCTAGGAAACAGCTCGATTCTGCTGCAGCCATTCCGTAAGCCAGGCAGGTTCCACTGACTAACAGCGTTCAAGTTTCACAGCCTCAGCAACCCATCCTCTTAATGTCAATACCTTTTCTCTTCCTTGTCCTAGTCGCTGGTAAACATGTGAACAAGACTCCCCTCCAGGAGTACAGAGAAGGTGGAATAGGCTTTCCCGTCATGAGAACTCAGGCAGCTCACTGCCTTTTCCTCAAGAAGTAAAGGTACAGGACCCTCCTGGGCACTTTTCTGCTCCTAAGCACAAAAGACCCAAATTCGCGTCTGAGGTCAGGATCCAAATATCGTTTCACTTCTCAGAAGCACCAGTTACAGAGGTGGAAAAAGGAAGCCTTTCCATCCCCAGGAGGCAACCACACCTCCCTGTGAGCTCAAATTCGGCTGCATCTCCAAAAATGGGAGCCACAGCTGCGCTGTCCTCCACCGTGCCCTAAGCCTTCGTCTGTCTCCCAAGTTTGTCTTCTCCAGATTCACTGGGTAGGCTCCTGCTCGGCTCCGGTGGAGGGGTCACCCGCTGGCTGAGAAGGAAGTGCGCTCCCTGAGCCAGCTAAGGGGCTACTGCAGGAGCCCGCCTGTCGGGAGAGCCATTTGGAGCCTCGGCCAGCCGGGGATGGGCCTGCGCCGGGAACGCCCGCTCCAACCCGGAGAGCCAAGGGCCAGTCCAGGGCGCGCAGCGTGCAGGGCGGTGCCCGTCTCGCTCGCGCAGAGGTGGGGCCCTGCCCGCAAGCCCCGCCCCACAGCCCAGGGCGGGGCCACGGGACCCCGCAGCTCTGACCCCAGGCCACCCCGCCATGGACCTCATACCATCGCACCGCAGCGACATCGAGCCTTCCTCAGCATTTCCACCAGTTTAAAGTTAGGTGGAACTATGCCGTTTTCGGTATGTCAGAATAGCAGAATATCAGGAGTTTCTTACGGTTTCAATCTAAGAGCTACAGCATACCTTGGAAATGCGTGGCCACACTGGCGCTACGTTCCAGGTTCATCCGAACTCTAAAATTTTAGAGTGAAAACATTCTCCCTAATTCATTCAACAGCTATTTACTGGCATCAACTACAAATTTCCTCAATTCTGGCTCACTTCACTTCTCCTATCGGCAATGTATTTTAAACTCCCCTTCCCCGCTGCGAAAAGACTTTGCAGGAAAAGTAGTAAGCATACTTCTGCCACATTAAACTCCTACTTAAACCTCCTAAGAGAGTATACTCTCTTCCCACTCTGGGAAAGCCATCTTAAATGGCCTCATTAAACGCAGAGTAGCTTGTTTTGTTTTTAAACAAGCATTACCCTTGCCCCAATAAAGTCCTGGGCCTCAGATTTGCATTGCATCAGCTAGTGCGTGCAGAGGTTTAACCTGTCATTACATCATGCTTAGGGCAGCCTCTAAATGCAGTAAGAGCTGGCAGAGGGGAGTCAACCCAATGCAGGGAATTGCACATTACCCACTTTCAGCAAGAAATTTTAACTCTAACCACTTCCTCACTCTATTAACAGTGTGTTAATATAGGCTACACAAAACAGTATTAGGAAAAGAAATATGATTGAAAATAGATACAGTCTACCCCACAGACAAGTTTTTTGTTTTTTTGTTGTTGTTTTTGAGACAGGGTCTCACTCTTGCCCAGGTCTGAGTGCAATGGCACAATCTCCACTCACTGCAGCCTAGGTCTTTCGGGCTCAAGCAATCCCCTCCCACCTCAATTTCCCCAGTCACTAGGACCACAGGCCGGCGCCACCATTTTCGGCTAACTTTCTTTATATTTTTTGTAAAGACAGGGATCCCCATGTTGCCCAGGCTGGTCTCGAACTCCTGGCCTGACATGATCCACCTGTCATGCCTTCCAAAGTGCTGGACTACAGGCGTGAGCCACTATGCCCAGTCTGTATTTTTATTTTCTAACATTTATTCATTCAACAGATCTTAAATTTCCCTACAGCAGAAAACTTCAAGTATTTTAGATAGAGAAACTCTTCCAAGCAGAATTATAAAATAAGCAAAATGTATACAACAAAAAGATGACTACTTCTCAAGCAAAAGATATTTCACTGTTTGCCAAACTCCAAAAGATGTGTACAAAGCCTTACAGCACAGTCTGAAAACCAGTGATCTATGGACAGGCCCCTCCACTTAATTAAGTCAGAAAAGTAGAAGCATTCTACAGTCATTTACACTTGGATTCAAACCCAGGCTCCACCACTTGTTCAGCTATAAAACTGGACTGTTTCCAGCCTCAAGTGGCTTTTGTCTAGATTGAGGTGGATAATTTATGTGTATCATGGGTGGGACATATTCCAGAATATTTAAATTTTCAGTTGAGACTTGAGCTAATTGCCTCAAAGTCATCAATTAGTCAAGAGACCTAGAATTTGTAGATCCAAGACACACACTACAATAGATGCCTTAAGCTTCCAAAGGTGATCAAACATACCTGCCAAGAATCAACCACTATTTAATTTTTAGCACAATAAACCTTCATTTTCAACTAGGTAGAATTCTCAACTAGGTAGAGTTACTGTTTAATTTTTTTACACTAGTTTTACAAAGAGCTGAAAAGTTCACAGAAGTACCTTAAGACAAGCCCATAGAATCCAAAATTGGCAAAAATCCAAAACTTAATAAAAATGCACTATTACCTACACTTTCTAAAGCCTACGTCTCAAGCCTAGTTTGGTATATAGTTTAAGTAGATGTCAATCTAAATCAAAACATTTTAGAATCAGCCTTTAAAGCTGTCTTAGTAATTTCAGAGCATTCAGCCATTGCTTTACCATTTTGGCATACCTATAGTAGAAAGATAAACTTTTATTCTCAATTACATGTGGCAATCTTTGCTTCCTTTTATAAATTATAAAAGTTTAAAATGGAGAAATATAGTCAGATATGAAAAAAAGTCATAATATACTGTAAACAAAATTACAAACAGAACATAGGAGGAATGGGGTGAAAAATCAAGAGGACTACAACATCAGACCAATGAGTTAGTTTTCTGTATCAGGACACTGGTGATTTTTAGCTATATTTTCTCTAAAGGGGACAATAAACTACTTTATAAAGATTAGTCTGATTAACAACTGTGAAAACAGTCAAAATGAACAAAAAGTAAAACATTTTTATTCTTAATTTAATAAACAAAAAAACAGACAAAAAAAAAAACAAAAAAGGGCTGTGCACCGTGGCTCACGCCTGTAATACCAGCCATTTGGGAGGCCGAGTCAGGCGGATCACCTGAGGTCAGGAGTTCAAGACCAGCCTGGCCAACATGGTGAAACGCTGTCTCTACAAAAATACAAAAATTAGCCGGGTGTGGTGGCATGCATCTGTAATCTCAGCTACTCAGGAGGCTGAGGCGGAAGACTCACTTGAACCCAGGAGGCGGAGGTTAAAGTGAGCCAAGATCGTGCCACTGCACTCCAGCCTGGTGACAGAGCAAGACTGAGTCTCAAAACAACAGTAACAACAACAACAACAAAGGATAGGATGTAATTATCACTGCCCACCCCTAGTAACACAAAAATTATTCTTAGAAACAATAAAGTATTATAAAATAAGAGTTATCAGATTACAAATTTGCTCTTTGCATTAGAAATCTTAAATAAAACTCCTCCATTCAAAACACTTAAGACTTTTCTTGTTCCCAGAATGCCTTTTGGTTATAAGAGTGCTTTCCAAATTCATTCGACATTGTGGCAGGTATTATGTAGAAATTATTTTAAGTTAAAATGTTAATTAAACATTGCTTCCATTAAGATTTACTTGCTTCTTACACAATGACAAAATTAAGTCTCTTAAAAATTCAACAGCTTAAAATGCCAAAAGTTTAAAAAATCAAACATTGTTGTAACGAGGACAATAAAGTAAACAATCTAGTTTCCAGAACTGTAGCAAAGCAAAATTTTTTTAAATTTTGTTTTTCCTAAAAGCTCCATTTTTCCTAAATTCTGAAAACTTTGCAACTACAGAAGAAAAGTTATACTAATAGTTCTAGAAAGACTATATTAGAGTTTAGGGACACCCAGGAAAACTGCTGTCAACAGAAGACGACAGAGGAAAGGCAAATCCTGATTCAAATGTGTTCAATGCAAAATACAACACTTGCTAAGTCACTTTATTTTGAGGTTTCCACCCAAGCTAAAAATTAGCATATACATGGGGTATGGTGGTTCATACCTGTAATCCCAGCACTTTGGGAGGCGGAGGTGGGACGATCACTTTAGCCCAGGAGTTTGAGACCAGCCTAGGCAATATACTGAGACCTCATCTCTACAAAAAAAATGCAAAAAATTAGCTGGGTGTGGTGGCATGCACTGTAGAGCCAGCTATTTGGGAGGCTGAGATGGGAGCCTCATCTGAGCCTGGGAGGTAAAGGCTGTAAGCTATGTCTGTGCAAGAGTGAGCCCCTGTCTTGAAAACATAAAGTATAAGATGCCCCAAAACACTGCAAGCCCTTCAACATGCCAATAGTAAAACTTTTGCTTTCCCACCAGGTATATTCAAGATTATACTAAAGTCCTGACTTTGTCAAAGCAATCAATCAAACGTAACTACCCTTGAATCCTTAATTTTGTGGTGTAATCACAATACTTCAAAGAAAGTTTTTGAAAGGATTACAGAAGTGATTAATTCTCCATCTCCATTTTAGTAGTCTGAAGCTCTTGCATAAATTCCACAGCTTAGAATCCTGGTCACAACCCTTTTCTCTAAGAACTACGTAAACTACGCCCACTGTCTTCTGCTATTCAGTGATGTCAATGAAAAACCTAATGTCACTTTCATTCTCAGTCCTTTGCAGATAACCTTCTGATATGCCAAAGCATTTTCCAAAATATATACATAGGTATCCTCAATCTCCAAGTGAACAGAGACTGATAGAATGGCTGCTTCCTTGCCTTGCCTTTCCCTTATGTAGGAAGAGCCACATAAATTCTGATTAATTACTTTTGTAGCTCCTTAACCCCTCTATAGAAGTTTTCATGCTAAATTTTCACATCTCTCCTTGGACCTTGATTGTTGGTTGTTGGTTTTGCATTTGCTGCTAGTCTCAATGGGTTCCAGAGTCAGCAAGCTAAACACAGAGGCAAAGTGGAGACTTCCCTTTATTCTCACTAATGAACAACTACCCCAAAACACTTATTAAGCACCTGCTAAGTGCCAGGTATAGTCCTCAATGGTTTGCATATGTTCTCATTTAACCTTTCCAATGACCAAAGTTAAGATATTTATCCCCATCTTACTTAAGAAAATAGATTTCAATGCTGGGCACGGTGGCTCACGCCTGTAATACCAACACTTTGGGAGGCCAAGGCTGGCAGATCACTTGAGGTCAGGAGTTTGAGACCAGCCTGGTCAACATGGTAAAAACCTGTCTCTACTAAAAATACAAAAATAGTCAAGTGTGGTGGCAGGTGCCTGTAATCCCCGCTACTCAGGAGGCTGAGGCACAAGAATTGCTCGAACACGGGAAGGTTCAAGGTTGCAGTGAGCCAGGATCATGCCACTACACTCCAGACTGGGCAAGAAGAGTGAAACTCCATCTCAAAAAAAAAAAGGAAAAGGAAACATTTCAAAGTTAAACGTTTCATAAAACTAGTAAGAGATGGAAGTTAGGGCTATCTGATTAAGGAAGACTTAGAATG